GACTGACATCAAGAATGCATGGGAAATTGCATTCATTTGTTCAAAGTTCTTAGATATCATTTAACAGATTTATTCGGAATCATGGCTCTGATGGCAAGCAGTATAGCAGACATCGTTCAGGTGAAGGATTGCCTCTCAAGTTTGGGAATAAATCAGTTACATTTGGGAGGTGGATACGTATTAATATGAAGGGGTTTCACTGGTGCTGGTGTCTCTCCCACTCATTAGGTTACATAGCAAAGTAAATTTATTAGTGTCTAAATTCATTATTGAGCATCATGGTCGTTCTCTGAGAGTATCTCGTGTTTCTGGGCCAGTCTTTCTTCAAGGCCAGCAAAAACAGTAAGGTAATTCGTAGAAGTTGAAAATAATAAGGTTATAGCATCACGCGCCTAAAGTCCAGTTCGTAGTTCAATTGGGCAAAGATTTGGACGATAAAGAAAGGAAGCTGATGACAGCGATAAAATTGTCTCAGGGCGTGGAGGCGGAATAGGACAAAATCACATCAAAACAATGTGACAAATTAGTGAAGTTCTCTAATTATTGATATAAAGGATTTATTAAAAGACGCGTCTTTATTAATATCATATATCAATAATAAGTTAATAATGGTGTTAATTTAAATGATATGTGTATTTAAAATGCTAACTAGTTTTGTATACAGCATTCATTTTTATTCCATATGTCTCTTTATTATTTGCATGCAGTCTACTGTTCTTAACTTAGTTTCTTTTTGCCATAGAGTTAGAAATATATTTGTTAAACTTTCCTTCCTGATGTGATGGAATAACCTGCTCCCCGTCCCGCTAGTCGAACTCTCCGCCTTCGGGCAGAGAGGAACCCGGCAGAGGACAGAGCTTCGTCCAGGGAGGTAGACAGACCCGATCCCGTTTATGCAGGGTTTACAGGGATTTTTTGGCCGAGCCTCCGGGCTCGGGAAACCCTCTTTAAATTCGGCCTTGTGCCACATGTGACTGCGTGGGGCAGTTACTAAATAGCGTCGAGCTGGGATCTTTCCCTGCTTTACTGGTCGAACTCTCTGACTTCGGGCAGAGAGGAACCCGGACGAGGCTATGCCGAAGGGTAGAGTCTCGTCCGGGGAGGTAGACGGACCCGATCCCGTTTATTCGGGGTCTATGGGGATTTTTTTGGCTGGGACTATGGGTTCGGGAACCCCACATTAAATTCGGCCTTGTGCCACATGTGACTGCGTGGGGGAGTTGCTAAATAGCTTCGAGCTGGAATCTGCGGGAACTAGCGGCCTTCTGATAGCAGCATGCACACAGCATGTACTGCCTTGCGACGACCGTGCACATAACTATTACTTCCTTGCCTGTTGTACTGGTTTCTACAATAAACCTGTTATTATTTATCCACCGTGTTTGTCCATTCCATATTCCTATTAGCACGGAATATAACACTTCTCAAATAAAAATCGAAACAGAATACCTTCAAAATACAATCGAGATACTGGAAAACTCTAGATAGGAACACAAGGTTGGAAAAAAAGTTGAAAGAACCGGGAAGAACTGAAATCATAGTCGAAATAAGAACAAAAAAAAAAAGAAAAGAAAAAATTTCGACAAAATTAAAATTTTAATAAACGTAAAAGATAATTGAACCACAAAAAAAGAATAAAACCTAGAGGTGCAAATCTAAGCTAAAAGAAACGATACAAACTATTAAGAACGTTAACCTAATGGCCTGAAAGAAACCGTTAAGTTGCGTGCAATTTGGACAAAAACGTAAAAACTGATTTATCAACAGCAATCTTTAGCGATGAATATAGAGCTATATTGGCTGAACCAGATTGATGGTCTAGATTGGTTTGGTTTGGTTTGTTTTGTTTTACGGCATATCAGCCTCAATAGGTTATTTATTTCCGACAAGATTTTTATTGATGGTAATTACTTTTCTTTTTTTCTTTTTTTTTTTTTCAGAAATGCATTGTTGGTAATATTTAATTTCAAGAAAGTATTGCAGGGAATAATTTTTTCTTCATAAATATATTGCTGGTAATAATTTTTCAAAAAACATTGTTGATGGTATTGAAACCTATTTTTATACTTACACAGTGTTTTGACCCCTTTTGGGGTTAATTATTTGCCCATAGCTGGAACCGTGACAGGTGCTACAACAATGGGTCAAGTTGGACCTGGGAATACCAGCAATTAAGAGGTGGTTTCACGCTCCGTAAAACCTCCTTATCAGAGGCCTTGCTGTTGGATGTAGTTTATCGTCTTACTCGGGACGTGGATGGAGTTTATCGTCATACACAGGACGGGATGGACTAGAGACTTGGCACTTCCTGAAAATAATCAGACAGCACGACTTCGGATAGAGTACTGTTACGCTTTCGGATGGTTTAATCGTAAGTCCTTTCAAACTTAATGAAGATAGTGCGAAGGTAAATTTAATAAATACAAAGTTTATTGTACGCCTACAATCTTCTTCGAATGATACAGGTAACAAAAAAGAGTAAATGGTAATGGTAATATTACCTGTTTCCTTATAAGGAAACATTCGGCATTCATTGACCGAACAGCCAGACATACATTTATTTGAAATTTATAAAATATTTCAAGAAAATAGCTTTCTCCAGTCTACTTTTATTGCTCTTTCCAGTACTAATCGATTATTCCTTCCTAACGTTTCGCTTGAATTAGTGTGGAACCTCAACATCTTGATTGTGTCATTATATTCTCTTCTCAAGTCCGGTAGCTGTTATTACTCTTTCCAGTATCAATGGAGGTTTCCATCCTAAGCTTTTGTTTGAAGTATTGTGGAACTTCAACATCTTGATTATGTCCCTATTTTCTATTCTCAAGTCCAGTAGCTGTTATCACTCTTTCCAGTATCAATGGAGATTTCCTTCCTAACCTTTTGTTTGAAGTAGTGGGGAAACTCAACATCTTGATTATGTCATTATATTCTTGACAAGTTGCATACGCTATCTATTTTATTTGGTGCCATTTTTGACAATCTTCAAGTGGTATCGTCTCTCTTATTTAGTACATTTTTTTGTCGGTGATTATGTAGCGCCAATCCACAAGCTTCGAAAGAAACTATTAGTACAAAACCTAGATGTTTATAATTACATATCTTAAACTGTTTGTGGAGTATTCATAATTGATTTATTAAGGTTTGGCTTCAATTTCTTTATATAAATAGTTTCAAGGATTTTTAGCTTGTGTCTATTCTTTTCGAGGAATAGTATTGAGGTGTTTTCAACGTGGATTTTCCTGAATTAATATGTTGTTGTAAATGTTTAGAAATATTGGATGTGTTATTCAAGTGGAGACTTAGCCGCCGTGCGAACATTGTTGTCGTATGTCCAACATAAATATTATTTTTACCGTTGCAGATACAATCTTCCAAGGAACATTTAAATTTATAGACGATGTTGATTTTCTGCAACATGCTAGTGGCTGGGGAAGAGTTGTCACGGATGATTTCATTAGATATAGTGGATTTAGTGTAATATATAATTAATTTTACTTTTTTTACTGGAATCTGTAGTGGATGTATTAGTTTTTATTAATTTCTTTGGGATGCTTTCGTCTTGCTTGTAGTTAACATGAACTTGGTTATGTTATGGTCCGGTTCCTTGTACCACGGTGATAGTCCAAGGTAGAACCAATAAAGAAGAACTCGAATACGGATATGGAATAACACAGATATATTACAAACAGGAATATATACAGAGAGGTAGAAAGTGTTAGTACGAACAATCAGGTTTAGTAGTAATTGTCTGAACGCGATTCTGTTTCGGACTGCCTCTGACTCGACTGACTGACTCGCTCGCTCTGACTGACTGACTGACTGACTGGCAGACTCCTGACGCACTTCACTCCAGACACCAGACTGAACGGTATTTAGTCACCCCCGCACCAACGAGGACATCATGTGGCACAAGGCCGGTTTAACGTGGGATCTCCGAGCCCGTGGGTTCGGCCAAAAATATGCCCTTTGAACCCGTATAAACGGGTTCAGGGTCGGTTTACCTCCCCGAAAGAGACTCCGCCCTTCGGCGTAGCCTAATTCGGGTTCCTACCCCCACGAAGGCAGGGAATTCAACCGATCAGCCAGTCGCCCGACTTCGGACTGAACTCCCTGCTTCCTCTTGAGGCGCAGTATTTATTACGTATGGAATAGTCCATTATGTTATTATGGGTAAGGTCCCATAACAGGTTACGATATAAAAGTTTGATATGTTTGGGGTTAGTTGGAGGGGCATTATGTTCTATATGTTTTTTGTATAGAGGTCTCTGATGAAGAATCTCATTTGTTCATCAACGATATAGCTGGGGAAATCATCATTGATTAGTGTTTGTTTTATATTTTTTTAGCTTGCTCTAGAAAATCTGTTTTGTGGATGAATTAATGTTTGCATGGTTTATTAGTTTTTTTTTTTATAATTGCTATTTTGTAGTAATTTGGATATTCGTTCTTATAGTTAAAAGTACAGTAATTTCTGCTGGTAGATTTTTTATATGGGGAGATAGTAAACTTATTGTTATTGGTGTTTATCAGTTTATCGAGGAAGGGAATTTTGTTGCTATTAAGATCGTATGTAAACTTAAGGACGGAGTTGTTCTGGAATTATTTTTGGAGTTTATGCATTTCTTCTGTATTCTTGACTAATAAAAGGATATCGTCAACGTATCTTAGGTAGATGGAGGGTTGTTTTTTTTTTAAATTGTTAAAGATGTTATTCTCAAGATTAAAGATGTAGAAACTACTAAAGGTCAGGCCGAGAAATGAACCCATGGAGAAGCTATCAAGTTGTATATATAGGTTATTTTTGGGATCATTGAATGGCAATCCGGTGGTGCAGGTTACCAGTAGTTTCCGTAATATATTAGGACTAATTTGAAGTGGAGGCATAGAAGGTTTGGTGGATATGTTCTTTTTATGGATTTTTATTATGGATTTGTTTTAAATAATGTCTCATATGAGATGCATAAATATACGAAATAAAGAAAGAAATATAAACAGACTGAAAATAGATAGATATAAATATAAGAAAGAAAGAAAGAAATACAAAATGACATAGATAGATAGATAGATATGAATATACTAAGAAAGAAAAAAGAAAGAAAGAAAGAAAGAAAGAAAGATATATGAATAGACCGAAATAGATAGATAGATAGATAGATAGATAGATAGATAGATATAAATGTAGGAAAGAAAGAAAGGAAGAAATATAAACAACCTGAAATAGATCGATATAAATATATGAAAGAAAGAAATACAAAAAAGAACGAGATAGATACATATGAAGATAGATAGATAGATAGATAGATAGATAGATAGATAGATGCGAACAGACTGACTGACAGATAGATAGATAGATACGAAAGAAAGACAGAAAGAAAGAAATATAAACAGATTGAAATAGACAGATATAAATAAATGAAAGAAAGAAAAAAAGAAATACAAAAAAGACAGAGATAGATAGATAGATAGATAGATAGATAGATAGATAGATAGATAGATAGATAGATAGATAGATATGAACAAAGAGAGATAGAAACATAGATAGTTATGAACAGCGATAGCTAGATATAAATATAAGAAAGAAAGAAATATAAAGTTTGAAATAAATATAAATATGTGAAAAAAAGAAATGCAAAAAAGACATAGCTAGATAGATATGAATATACTAAGAAAGAAATAAAGCTATATGAACAGACCGAAATAGATAGATAGATAGATAGATAGATAGATAGATAGATAGATATAAATATACGAAGGAAAGAACTATAAACAATCTGAAAAAGATAGATATAAATATATGAAAGAATGAACGAAAAAAGAAAGAAATGCAAAAAAAAAAAGCAAAAACGAGAAAGATATAAATATACGAAAGAAGGAAGAAAGAAATCAAAAAAAGACCGAGATAGATAGAGATAGATAGATAGATAGATAGATAGATAGATAGATAGATACAATTTCGTGGCGAAGAAAATGCATTTCCAGGCCTGAATGCCGTTACTCTACAGCATGTTAGAGCAATATTAGATTCAATAAACCCTATTTCTCTCGAACACCAATTTAATGTCTGCTAAATTACACAACTAAATATATATCATATCTTATTTTCAAATCAGTCAGGCCTTCCCCACTTAGAGAACCGATTCATCACAATCTTCATTAAGTTCACTCATCTTATCTTTGTGCCAAACATATTTAAGCTTAATAAATTTCTATAAATACCAAATCATAATGACTAGCCGTAGAAGTCTACAGACAGGCCAGGTCATAGAAATATTAATTTCCCGTGCGCCTTGGTAAACAGTCACTGATACGTTGTTTGCTTCAACGAATGCATATTTTCGTACAATGGAATGGGGCTTTGCAGACGATTTGTGGAAACGATTTCTCTCTCTTACAACGTAATATATACCTTTGTTCGAAAAGAAAGAGAGAAAATCTATCTGGGTATTTTTTTTTCTGCGCAAGAGAGCAAACGCCTTCAGCAAGGTTAATAGCAAATGTCTTATGCGACTAACTTTGATCATTTGCCGCAGCGAACGCCATTAAACATACTGTTTCCCACGCTGACCAGATGTACAAACTGCTAAACGGTCAGAATTATTCTTACACACAAAATACACAAACACCCGATATAAACTTATAATGGCATATAAGCAAACCCCTTTTTTTTTCAGAGATATCTCTTGGATACAATTTGTAAAGTCGAAATGTCTTGTAGGCCTGTGCTACTCAAAGTGGTGGTCCGCGGACCGGTGCCGGTACGTGAACCATCAGCTAACAGTACGCAGCCAGTGTCCAGGCCAAGGAATCATTTGAAGAATTGGTAGATGCCAGCCAAACGGTACACCGCCAGAGCCAGGACCGTCAGAATTTGTATTTTCGTACCAAACCTGGTACTTTTTTGCTTTCAAACAACTGGATAAACAGACAAATTTATAGCTCACCTTTCACACTAGTAAAGATTAAGGTTATATAATTTTTTTTGCTTTTGTGTTAATAAACTGCTTATTTTTTTTTATTATTATTTTTTATGTTTTTTTATATTGAATCATTTTTTACAAAATAAATGTAAGACAAAAAATAGTCAACATTATTATATTCATTATATATATCGTTCCCGGTATATTACATGGAAATTAATATTACAGTGTAACCCGGATATAAGAGAGTTGTCGGGACCGGAGAAGAAGTCTCTTATATCCGGGTTTCTCTTATATCCGGGTTTGGTCTATTTTATATACATTAACACAGGCTCTAATTTGGGACCAGAGAAAATATCTCTTATATCCGGGTCTCTTATATCCGGGTTACACTGTACCACGAAATATTACAGGCACGTGACACATTAAGAAAAAAATACTGGTCCGCCATATATTGAGAAGTACTGTTGTAGGCTAATGTTTACTCAGACACCGCAGACTCGCAGGAGCTGTACCAAATCAAAATCTGTCGAATCTAGAATAAACCAAATGTATCCTCTACAGAACTACACAAAAAGTACCAATTTACTGGTGGATGCCAGATGAATCAGTCCGAACAATAATATTTGACTCTAGACTCAAGTACAAACTCGATCAATGTTTGACTAAAAACTCATGTATAAACACGGCTAATATTTAACAATCACCTCGAGGATACGTACAAGATTAGCGTCTTGAGTCAAGTATAAAAACGACCAATATTTATCTATATTCTCAATGATACACATGGAAAATCTTTAGTCATAGTCTCAAATATAATCATGAAACTATACTCCAGTATTCGCCAAATCAATATTTACCTGTATTCTCAATCATAAAAGCAAGAAATGTCTACCGATGTTCTCAAGTATTTAAAAGCTGCTACTTATTTTCTCAATTAGGAACACGACTGATGTTTACCTATATTTTCAAATAAAAACGTGATCAATGTCTAGTAATCCTAACTATAAACAAAACTAGTATTAACATGTAATCTCTCTCTCTCAAACACACACACATACACACACACACACACACACACACACACACATATATATATATATATATATATATATATATATATATATATATATATATATATATATATATATCCGAAATTATTTTAAGACATTTTATGACATTCTTTTATAGATACAAATATTTAAGTAAATGCTCTGTTTTATAATAAATTATTAATAACATTTACCGGCCTGAACATTCTTTCGGACATTCAAATATTTAAGTAAATGCTCTGTTTTTATAAAAAAGAGCATTTTTAAATATTTGTATCTATAAAAAGAATGTATAAGACATAAAATGTCTTAAAATAGTTGTCGGACTTTGTCCATTTCATAATGTGTGACGTCATTTGTATACATTTGGATACGCATTGAGCAGATATGAATGTATGTGAGAGAGTCATTGAAGATTGTAGTTTAAAAGAAAGAAATAGCAACCTACTGTGGGAAAAAAATCTGCCTCATCAGTCATATATCGAAAGATACATGATCGTCTAAGCCTGTATCACACATGGCACATAACTAATAATATTAACACAGTCGAAAAGATTTACATAGGCGCCACAGAAAAAAAAGATATTTTAAAGAAATATATTATAAACACAAAATGTCATTTGAAAGAAAAAATACACAAACAATACATACAGCCCTATCAAAATACATATGAAGGCAAATAGAAAACAATATGCACACTAAAATCAAATGGGAAATTATAAGAAGAGAACGGTATTAATTAATAGTAAAAATTGTAAATTATGCTTACAGGAAAAATTAACAATAATTAAAAAATAATAATAAAAAAAAACTCTTAAACAAGCAGACTGAAATAATGGGTAAATGTAAGCATGTAAATATATAGTTACTTTGCCATCTAAGCACTAATTAAAAACAAACAAATAAATATAAATAAAATAAATATAATATAAGCTATAAATGAATAAAATAAATATAATATAAACTTTAAAAAATAATTATTAATAAATAAATAAATGAACAAATAATAAGCATGCACACCTATATGCGTGCGCGTGAATATATATATATATATATATATATATATATATATATATATATATATATATATATATAGAGAGAGAGATAGGTAGATAGATACACCTAGTGAGCCAGACAAACCTACCTAGGTTTCACCTAAACGGATCCGTTTAGGTGAAAACCTAGATAGGTTTGTCTGGCTCACTAGGTGTATCTAGGTCTCTCTACGGTTGTATTGAGCTCTTTTGTTAGTTAATTGTTTACTCGTATCAGGGTTTTTTCTTTGGGCTTCAAACCTGCATCTGTGCGATTTTTTTGTCGGCAGAAGTTCATGTTTGTAGCTCTTTCTTTTTTAAAACCTTTTTTTCCCTCGAGATTGATTTGATTATTAGCAAATCAAAAATTCGAGGGTTTTTCAAAACGAGTCTAGTTATCTATAATATATATATATATATATATATATATATATATATATATATATATATATACAGATACACACAAACGAACAAACCTAATCCCCATAATAAATAACTCAATATATAGCACCAAGGCAAAAACAAATAAACTACTAATGATTAAATAAAAATGAAACATTACATAAACGATATTATATGATATAAGCAAGCATACATATACACTATTTAACAATTACATATATGTGCGTGCGGACAGTGTGTGCCTTCGATTGCGTGCGGGAGTATATACTCTATATAAATGTTAACACAACAAATCCTATTAAAGTAACCAACCATAATTTATCTCCTAAAAATAGAAAAGTAACTTCACCATTTAAGCACTAGTTTATTAATAACAAAGCACGAGCATAAGTGTACATGTAGCAGTGTACGCACGTTTATATGTATATATGTGATTGCATAAATGTGTACGTATGCGTATATAAGCGTATAAATACAGACATGCACATATATTCAAATATTATTAAATAAATTTAATTCAAAATGTAACCTCCGACAATTAATACTTATGATACCACCAAACCAAATAAAAAATCATAGCCTAGTGAAGATATATAAATACATGTGAATGTGTGCATGCATATATATATATATATATATATATATATATATATATATATATATATATATATACAGATTGTTGATCATGCTACATAACACGCTCTATACCAGAAACTGTAAGTAAGGTCTTTCCAGCATGGTTGCAGTATATACCACAGGTTGGGTCTGTGAGTGTTAAACAAACACAAATATGCCTGAGCGAGCGTCTCCAATAGGGATTGATTAGCTGCCCTAGTAGATGGGTATCCTCGAATACAGTGGCCAGCTATTATATATTATATATATATATATATATATATATATATATATATATATATATATATATATATATATATGTACACACACAGTATATATATATATATATATATATATATATATATATATATATATATAAATTATTTATCATTTAAGCATTAATATCAATTATTTATGTAAGTAACGAAATACAACATCCCTACTCAAAAAAATTACAACGCTCAAAATTGTAAATGGTGATATGTCTAGAGAATGTAATAATTCGCCAAAAATGGCAACTATAGAAAGAAAAGAGGGGGAAAAAGAGCGAGAAAGCTAATTGGCGAGCGTAAATTGAAAAAAAAAGAATTTGTACAAAAAGCCAAATGACCATGGCGCACTACACTTAACCACATCCGCACAGACTGGCGCACGCGCGCAAACACACATCCGCAGTGGCGGGCACAAGGCCGCACACGTGCATATGAATACAAACGATATGGAAAAAAACATTAGATCATTGATTAGTGCATAACAATGAAAAAAATCGAAAGATATGAACAATAAATTGCAGATGCCCGTAAAGGATGGATGGGCAGGTGCGCCTACGTGTCGGGATGCTGAAGGTAAACTCAATCAGCTAAGTGACAAATTTATATATATATATATATATATATATATATATATATATACAGTCGTATGGATGTGAGTTTGCAACCCTCGGTTTCACGCTTTTGCTATCATCAGATTGTGTATATATATATATATATATATATATACTTAAACCTAGAGAGCCAGACAAACATACTAAGGTTTCACCTAAGCGGATCGTCAGAGAATGCTGGCTGGCTTGCATTGCTAGACGATTATTTTCGGCTGACGTAAATGTTCTTTGTTCTTTCGTTTTTATAACCTCCCCCCTTTGGTATTGGTTTGATTATTTCGCAAATCAAGACACCGAAGGTTTTCGGACAGTATAATTTCTTATACTTATAAGAACTACTACTATATATATATATATATATATATATATATATATATATATATATATATATATATAACCTAGAGAGCCAGAAAAATCTATCAAGGTTTCACCTAAGCAGATCGTCAGGGAAGGCTGGATGATCCGCTTAGGTGAAACCTTGGTAGGTTTGCCTGGCTCTTTAAGTTTATTTAGGTCTACTCTACACATGTATAAATATATATATATGTACACATAAATCAAAAGGTTGTGTATGTATGTGTGTATGAATGTTTTCTTCGTTGTCAGTCGTACGAATGGATCTTGGTCTTCCTCGATTTTCCTCCATCCATAGTTTGTTATGCAAAGGCAACGCGACGATAAACAGCAGCAAAGTTTGTATGAATTGGCTGCCCTCGGCCTGGAAATGCAATCTAACATAGCCGTGCAGCCCCGCGTCCATCACCATTCTCGCGAAACATATTTAAAAACCATATCTGCCTGCTGACGGTATGAATATCCTGCCATTGTTAAATGGAAGACTTCTAAGTTAACTCACTACTACACACGTTAAACATTGAAGACTGACTAGCCACAAATGTACACGAATGACAAATGTAACCTCGTCTGCATGCAGAGACAGCGCCATCTACTTTAAAGCAAATAACTAAAAAAAAAACAAATAATAAAACAAAAGCAAGAAAAATAGAAAGAAAAATATACGAAGAAAGAAAAAAGAACGAAATTTCTTTTGAATGAATGAGAAAGAAAGAAAGAAAGAAAGAAAGAAAGAAAGAAAGAAAGAGAGAAAGGAAGAAATAAAGAAATTCCTTTAGAGCGAATGATAAAAATGGAAAGGAAGAAAGAAATAAAAGAAATTCCTTTAGAATGAATGAGACAAAAAGAAAGAAAGAATGAATTCCATTAGGATAAATGAGAAAGAAAGAAAGAAAAAAGAAAGAAAGAAAAAGAGATTCCATTATAGTGAATGATAAAAATGGAAAGAAAGAAAGAAAGAAAGAAATTCCTTTAGAGTGAATGATAAAAATGGAAAAGAATCAAAAAAAGAAAAAGAAAAAAACGTTGGTCGTGGGTGCCCATCGACTCAATTAATTTGAATAAGTCCTTTCTGGTCCATATCACTTCGGATATTAGATTCCTGATAATAGAATGCCTGTCGACAATTTCAGTCTGCGATGTTACGGCAGGAATATCTTTTGCGCGGCGAAATGAATTTGATTCCTCTCTTTTGGACGTTTAATCTGCGAAAATAAACATTTGCCTATCTTTTTACCGAGATACGAGTAAAGAAAATTGGACACACCGTGTGTTAATGGCGGTCGGTTTATGATACGGTCGCAGCTTTCATTTTTTTCATAAATATTATTTTTTGTTCGTTTTGTACTATGTGTGCGCTTGTGTGTGTAAAAGAGAGCGAAAACAGACGAAGTGTTCAGGCTGCGCATGCGCTGTGTCCCAAGTTATTTTCGTGCTCATAAAACATGGTTCTCAGTTTATACTGATACTTACTCGTTGCTATTAAATAGTAATCAAATGTTACAATGTATATGCTTTTAAGATATCCCTGAAAATATAAATAGATTTGTTTGAAGGCTAACTAAAGTTAATTAATAATCTTTTCTTTTAGTATTTTGCTTCGCAGTGAAAATGCAAGCATAAATCTCTTAATGAATTCTGAGCGTTTCCATCATTCATAGGATATTTGAAAGAATTTGTGGATTGATCCAGGTGTGTTTACAGGTATGAATTGTGTTTCATTACGTCCTCATGCGTCATTTATAATGTTGTTTTCTTGGGAAGGAGCTCTTATTTATTTTTTAATCGGGATTACCTCATGCAAGGCAGTAAACCCACTAAGATACAATGGGTTACAGGGTATGGAAGAATTAGGAACAGAGGCCCTGATCTGGCATCTAGTATGCAGTCGCATTGTCACAGACGTGCAGAGGCTTCCCTCTGTCTCTTCTACAAGTATTTTCACAGCAACTATTCCGACGAGCTACTTTCGCTGGTTCTCAAACGTCATGAATTTAAGCGAATAAGTATCTCGGTCCCACCCTTTCACTGTCAAAACAGTTAAATGCAACCGTCTCTTCTACTCAAACAGTTTCTTCTCTTGCACTTCCCGTCTGCGGAACTCCCTTCCCCTTACTTGCTTCCCCCATGACTATAATCTTCAAATATTCAAGTGTAATGTCAATCGACATCTGATATCTTGATCTTGTTCCTCGTCCTTCTCTGTATCCTTTCCCACAAACACGCCTCTTTACTCTTGTTCTCAACCCTTTGTAACCCCCTTGCGTGCTAGTCGCACCCCTGCCTTGCCTGGGGTGAATTGCTTTAAAAATGCATCAATAATGAGCGGGAAGAGATAAGAGTAATCAGGAGGATAGTAGACAGTGATTGGCATTGGATTTAAAGTTAGCTGGAAAGCATGGAGCTGGAAAAGAGTTCCACAAGGGAGAAGTGCGAGAGAAGAAATTGTTAGCATAGAATTTACGGCTACATCTGGCCAGCACAACTGTCAATTGATGTCAACTGCCAATCTAGTGCTGCGCTTAAATTGAAAAAAAAAATACAGGTACCATAGCGAAGATATCGTTTGAACAATTACCATCAAATTCTTTACAGAAAATAAGCCAGTTAAGGTACTAGGAATTTTTGAGACATTGTGCAGATATATTTAGACATCCTTTTCGTTTGATTAACTAAAACTTCCTTTTTATGATTATAGTTTCTTCTTCCTTTTGAAATCTTTCGAGGCGACCCGATTTTGTAAGCGAATTGATTTCTATTAATGAGGAATAACACATTGGGTAGAACGAGTTCAACCTGACTGAAATAGACTCTTATAGGCTTTCTAGAACTGATAAGTCTGAGTTTATTACTGTTCCAGGCCCGCCGAGTGCCCTGATGACACGTCTATATAATCCCAGCCCATGAAAAGAAGTATGGTTGAAAGCACTCGATCACTAACATGCGGAAAATATCTACATTCATTGGAGCCAATGACATGTCCTCTAGTACGCACAAAATAAGTTAACTAAAAAGAATTTGGAAAAATTCTGTTTGCTGTATTTTAATAAAATGCACTTGCACAAACACACAGACGCACACGCACAGATAGATAGATAGATAGATAGATAGATAGATAGATAGATAGATAGATATTAAAAGATTAGATAGATAGATAGATAGATAGATAGATAGATAGATAGATATTAGGAGACTAAGATAGATAGTGTTGTGGTAGGATCCACCTAATTTGCATAGTGGAGTACCGACCATATAAATATGGTTGGTACCGGGAAGATAGGGAGGAATCAAGAGATTCAACCAGAGACTCTGCCCGACTGCGACTCAGCCAACACATTCTCCAGGAACGGTCTTACCAGGAATATACAAAAGACTATATGTAAATATTGTGTACACTTTCTTGTTTCAATACATTTTGTTCTAAGTACATTTTGTGTTGCATTATTATTCCATGTATTAGTCAAGTTTCAAGAGATAGCTAGATAGATAGATAGATAGATAGATAGATAGATAGATAGATAGATAGATGTGAACAGACGCGTAACTTTCTATCCCATAACAACTAGATGTAATCGGGAATGATTGCTGGATATTTTCTTGATGAGAAGAAATACTTTGAAACTATTTTAAGTTATTCCAAATCGCTATTTACTTTATAAACACGGAACAGAAGACTCGTCGATTTTTTCAAAGTGAAAGCGTGACCCATTCATTCAAATCTTACGAAATGAAATAAATTACACTAATAACTCTATCTCTAATAAAAGTGGATAGATTTACCTGAGATTAACATAAGGAATGACACAACCACTTATAAAACAATAAGAGATTTAATTAATATAAAATAAAATAACAATCTAAACTTTTCAACAGAAATTTACTCTATAGCCTACACTGACAGCCACAAGGAATACATAGGAGAAACCTCGAGTAATTTAAATAAAAGATTATGTGGACCTAAACGCTATCATTTGCAAAACAACACACTCAATGCATTAGATGATCATCATAATAAGTCTGACCATAATTTTAAGATTCTACTAAAGAGTAAAAAGAGAAAGCAATTTACTAAAGCATATAGAAAGAGATCTGATTACTAAAACCTCCCCGGTAAAGTTACATTCAGGGCCTTAAAACATCTGTCTATATTTCTGAGATGAGGTATCATGTACATTATTTACATTATTCGGACTATTGTCCTCATCTTTGTCGCCATATTTATTACAACGTTTCGGCCGTTGTACGCTCCGGCCTTCTTCAGTTGGTTGGAATGTCGAACTGAACCCTTTATTTCGCTCACTGAGGTAGACTGTTCTAGTTCCACGTGCCATGTCTAATGGATATCAGTTATCAGTCATCTCCTGTTAATTTTCCCACTGAAAGTTCTACACCGCCTTAACCAGGTATTAAACTCACACTCTTTGGGTCCTGTCACTGACACAGTGAATAAAGGCGTTAGTTAGATCCAGTGACAGGAGCCAAAGAGTGTGGGTTTAATACCTGGTTAAGGCGGTGGAGAACTTTCAGAGGGAAAATTAACAGGAGATGACTGATAACTGACATCCATTAGACATGGCACGTGGAACTTGAACAGTCTACCCCAGTGAGCGAAATAAAGGGTTCAGTTCGATATTCCAACCACCCGAAGAAGGCCGGAGCGTACAACGGCCGAAACGTAGTAAATATGGCGACAAAGATGAGGACAATAGTCCGAATAATGTAAATAATGGCCTTAAAACATGTCACCTCTTTTGGCAGGTCTTATGTCATCACAATGCAGTATAGTTAAAAGGAAACTGATCAAAATAAAAGTGTGGAAAAAATAAACGTGATCCGCTAGAAAAGATATCAAGACGCGTTAAAAATAATACATTAAAATAATTTACATTTCCGCATTCAGAAATTTTGAGTATTTCCCTAGGTATATAAGTATCAGCTATGCCTTTAAAAAAATCATAGAACACTTCGACGTAGTGTAATGGTTAACAAACTTGACTCGCTTGATCAATTACGATTGTGTAGTGAGTTCGATCCTCACTGGGTGCTCTAAATTATCGACCTTGAGTTACATCAGAGCTACGGTTAGGAAATAATTCATTGGACATTTCAACGTGGTGTAATGGCCAGCGAGCTTGTTTTTCTATATCAATTACGACCGCGTAGTGAGTTCGATCCCCAATGGATGCGCCACACTTTCGATCTTGAGTCACATCTTACAGTTGGAAAATCGTTTGTTGGCTAATCTATTTCAGTCTGTTCATATCTATCTATCTATCTATCTCGCTTGCTATCTGTTTATCTATCTATTTCACTCTGTTCATATCTATGAATCTATGTATCTATTTCACTCTATTCATATCTATCTATATTTCTATCACAGCCTGTTCATATCTCTCTATATCAGTCTCTTCATATCTATCTATCTATTTATCTATTTCAGTCTGTTCATATGTCTCTATCTATTCCACTCTCATCATATCTATCTATCTATCTAGCGACCTATCTATCTATCTATTCCACTCTGTTCATATCTATGTATCTATTTCACTGGGTTCATATCTATCTATTTATATTTCTATATCAGTCTCTTCATATCTATCTATCTATCTATCTATCTATCTCAGTCTGTTTATATCAGTCTCTTTATCTATTCCAATCTGTTCATATCTATCTAGCGACCTATCTTTCTGTCTCTGTTTATCTATCTATCTATCTATCTATCTATCTATCCCACTCTGTTCATATCTCTCTATCTACTCCTTTATATGATATGAAGATTGCATCAATATCACACTGAAGAAGTCCAACACCCCGCAAAATATCTCTAGATCGTTTTTCTTGGAGGTTAGCAGTAGCCAGTGGCACCAGAATTGTGTTGGCATGAAAAACTCAAGAGAGATGTTCGTAAGAGTTTTGATGCTAATTTACCTGAGAATTTTGCACAAAACTTAATATTGCTATAGCAGGAGTGACTAGGCACTATAGCCTTGGGTGCTAATCGGGCTAAGAGAAGGACAACACTTTATTCCCAACCTGGGCACAATCTATGCCCCATTCATCTGTTTCGGCTCTTCAAAAAAGTGTGGTTGGTTCTGCACAGGTCTCCATTACTAGAATTAAATCATATGCGCTCGTAATTTGGCTGTTTGTTCTCATGAACAGAGTTGCTGTACCTTCATACGTCGAAAAACGACGGGAGGGTCCAGTACATATATATATATATATATATATATATATATATATTAGAGAGAGAGAGGGGAGAGGGAGAGAGAGGTGTTGAGGTTTCACATTTATACACACATTCTAATATATACACATACACACATCACGCACACTTCCAAAGAACAAAAAGATAACATACACTTAACACGCACATCCCATTCCCAGCAACCAATAAAACTGTCAAAATGACCAAGGAAGGAATTCTTACAGTCTCCCATCCTCTATCTTAAAAGCAATTTGAAAGAGGCCGTTTGACCAACAGAAGGACTGAACAAAATTAACGAAAAAATTCAAATGAAAACAGATAAAGTTCACTTTCTTCAGAAAGAGTCATTCACTCCTGCAGTTCACTGCTACTAACAAGCAGGGATTTTTCTCCTGATGATGGCTATGCTGGCCAAAACTTGTTGAGGAACCTAACTGAAATAATAAAACAAAAAAAATATTAATATACAACTCATTGTGTCTGAAAATTTCTTTTTTTTAAATATTTTTTATTGTCCAAAACACACAGACACACACAGACATATATATATATATATATATATATATATATATATATATATACTCTTGTGCAAATTACTTGAAACATCCGCTTTAGTTTCCTTTCTTTCAACATACGGACAGTTTTAGACCCCCTGGAGTGACAAGGTGTAATCGATTTCTATTTTTTCTTCAGATTAGGTCATTTGCAGTGGCATGCAGTAATATGAATCTATTTTCGATGTATATGATGAAATTTGTTTGGCCTTGAAAAATATTGCGACATCCGTGATTGCATCATATTTTTATCACGCCCAAACACTATTGTCTCGACTGTCTATTAGTTGTCCTGCGCCCATTTTTTGTGATAGACGTTACTCCAATGAAACTTACGAAAATTGTAATGCTGCACAAACACACTGGCAAGCCATAGCAGTAAGCACATCAAAGTACTATAGATTGGCCTGGAAACTCTCCTGATTTAAATTCAATCGAGAATCTGTGGTCAATCTGCAAGGACCGACTTCGTGGGATGGACCTACGAAGTACTAACATGTGCACTGGGTCTTGTTTCATAACGGAATTATTCGTTTTGTTTAAATTGATTTACACGAGGGTACACACACACGCACACACACATATATATATATTTTTTTTCTATTTGTTCAGATATATTATGTGAAATCTTCACGGTCTTACCATCAAATTCTGTATTAATATTTAGTCAATGTTTGTTTAGTGTCTCATGGAGATTTATTTACTTAATTCATGATTTGATACAATTCCTTATCTAACAAAATGCCCGTATAGATATCTGTTCGAATGCATGTGTTGATAACACAATACTTATCACTGAGTGCTTGCACACTGCCTTTTCGTTTGTTTGTTTTTTTTTCGTCGTCCCCTTTTCAGCAACATTCAAAGACACACAGACAAACGTACAGACACACATGGATTTGCATATATTGCGCGCACACACACACACACACATGTATATATATCTTGTCTATAAATTTCAACACATTTGTAATTTCTGATTATTTTAGATAAGAAATTTCATAACTATATTCAACCAGAATGCTTCCAGAATTATATATAGCACTATTTTTTTAAAATAATAACAAAAATACTAGAGATTTTTGGATTATTTACCTAACGAGTTCTTTCCTATTTTCTATATATTTTTACACACACACACACACACACATGGGTATATATATATAGATAGATAGATAGATAGATAGATAGATAGATAGATAGATAGATAGATGTGTGTATGTGTATGTGTGTGTAATTTCTGACTGAATCTGTGAGAAAAAATTATCATAATTATATTCTACCAGAATTGTTCCAGAAATATATATATATATATATATATATATATAATTCTGGAAATAAGGAAAAGAACACCAACTATCAATTCAAAAACTGAAAACTCTGCTTGGAGGACAAAATAGCTACAATTACCTTCCCAGATCAAAACAAACTACTAATTAAATGATCAGAACTCATCTCAAAATTCAAACACGAAAACAAATTTTTACTACGTTCTTAAAACCCGAAAACTGAAAAGAATAAATAAAAATAAAAAATAAAAATTAAATAAATAAGCAAAAACAACTAAAATAAATT